TACCATCCTCTTCGAAGAATCATTTCTGAAAGTGAAATTTTCACCATCCTCTTAGAAGAATCATTTCTGGAAGCGAAATCCTCACCTCTTCGAAGAATCATTTCTAGAAGCGATATCTTCATCATCTTCTTCGAAGAATCATTTCTGGAAGCGAAATCTTCACCATCCTCTTCGAATATCTGATACGTTACCATTCTCTGACGCTTCTGAATGCTTTAGGTGAATCAATGGTTACTTATTTCTTTCATGAATCAATGGTTTTTGTTTACTGAATATGCTTTAGATTAATGTGCTTTCATGTTTTATTTAGATTTACTACATATGCTTTAGGTTTTGTGTAGCATTAATGTGTTGTTCACAATAGTCCTTTTATATTAATTTCAACATTTATTATGGATCTTAGTTGGATGAAAGCTGATAGATTAGGTCCGGTGTATGAGAAATGAGTTCTTGAATTTATAGAATTCGCCAAAAAAATGTTTTCGACAATAATGGTATCCTTTATTGTCCTTGTGTTGTTTGCTGGAATATTAAGAAACAGTCAAAAGAGAAATATTCTACCACCTATGTTGTGATGGAATATGTCAAATTATACGACATGGACGTGGCATAGAGAAGTGGATAATAATCTAAATGAGTCATCACAAATGGATGAAGACGATGAATATATGGATTATCGACTAGAAGATATGATTCGTGATATGGGAGAACCGTCTTATCTAAAAGCCCATATTTATGATACTTTATGCGGTGCCAAAGATGCGCCTTCATATAAGAGGTGCACCAGTTTTGCACGATTGTTTGCATTGTTAAAATTGTTTAATATTAAGGTATAAAATGGGTGGTCGGATAAAAGTTTCTCAGAATTGCTTGATTGGTTGCAACAAATGCTACTAGAAGATAACAATTTGTCAGATCGTTGTTATGACGCTAAGAAGATATTGTGTCTAATGGGTTTGAAGTATGTCAAAATACATGCATGTCCAATGTTGCATGTTATACAAGAAAGAGTATGAAAATTTAGATCAATGTCCAGAATATGGTGAGTCATGCTACAAGTTGAAGAACAACAATGGTGATGACAATGATAATGTCAGTAAGAAGCGCTCTCATACTAAAATGTTATGGTACTTGCCAATAATTTCTAGGTTCAAGAGACTTTTTGCTAATGCAATTAATGCAAAGAATATAAGATGGCATGTAGAGGAAAGAAAATATGATGGAAACATTCGCCATATGGATGATTATTTGCAATGGAAGAAAATTGATTCATTATTTTCGAATTTTGGCCTTGAGCCAAGAAATCTCAGGCTTGGGCTTGCAACAAATGGAATGAACCCCTTTGATAGTATGAGTACTAACCATTCTTTTTGGCCCATTCTTCTCACGATTTACAACCTATCTCCTTGGTTGACCATGAAGCGCAAGTATATGATGTTAAATATGATGATTTCTAGACTAAGACAACCTAGAAACAATGTCGCTATTTATCTAAGTCCATTAATTGATGATTTAAAACTTTTATGGGATAAAGATGATGACGCTGATGATGCATATTCTAGTGAAAAGTTTAAGATGCATGCAATGATATTTTGCATAATTAATGACTTTCCTGCATATGGAAATTTGGCTGGATACAATGTCAAAGGACATAAATCTTGTTCTATATGTGAATATGATACATGTTTTCACCAACTTGAGTTTGGAAAAAAGACCTTTTACATTGGACTTCAGAAATTTCTAAAACCCAATCATCCTTATTGTAGATTGCAGAAGGCTTTTAATAGAGAGCAATAGTACGAGCGTGCTCCTAAACCTTTAACTGGCGATGCAATTTATCAACGATAAGAACACCTTAATGTTGTCTTTGGAAAGAATAATGACAGTCCCGTTGAGAGAAATATTTGGAAAAAGAGATCAATTATGTTATTGAGGAGATTTTTGAGATTGATTATGTTACTTTCAAAGTGCCTTTATTTAAATGCAAGTGGATCCCCAATAACAATGTTGTACAAACTGATGAGTTAGGATTTGCACGGGTTGACCTTGGTAAGGCAACTTATAAGACTGGACCATTCATCATGTCTACTCAAGCGAAACAAGTTTTTTTATGTGAAAGACCCTACAGACTTATTGGGGAAATGATCAATTGTTCTCAAAGTAAAACACGTCCCTTATAGTAATGATGAATGCTTTGATATTGCTACCACTCCTTTTTATGAAACACAAGTGCTTAATTCATATGAAGAAGTTGATAGAGGTGATGTGCATATGCTATTTGTAACGATCATCAAGAAGGAATATATGAAAATTAACAAATAAGTATTTTATATTCTTCATTCATAATATATTATTTGTTATAATTTTGAATGATGTTATTTAATTTCTAACGACTATTATTATTTGAAAATTATAGGTGACTAAAATGAAGACACCAAGAGACAAGACCTCAAGACAATAAGATAACATAATTTGATGTAATGATTTGAAGATTGTAGGATGTTTTGTCTCAACTCTGGTTTTTATGTAATATACAAGGTTTGGTTCCTAATGGAATTGTGTCATTGATGTAATACAATTTTTGGTCTATTTTAATTTTGGTTCCTAATGGAATTTTGGATGTATTGTTGTTTCTGGTAGATACGATCTAGAAATATTCAGGTTGCAAAGTTGAAAATTCTGTAAAATTGATTTTTTTTAATAAAAAAAGCACAAATTATATCACAATGGTTGTTAATCCAACCGTTGTTATAAGAAGAGCGATATCTAGAATAATAAAACTCACTAATGGTGTTGTTGGGTTTCGAACCCAAGACTTTTCCATTATTTTACAATGATTATTTCTATAAATCTTAGTTATAAGTAGCGCGCTATTTAATTTATAACAACAGTCACATGTCTGTTGTGGTAACCAACATACATACAATCACACAGTACCTAACAATAGATGCACTACAATTATTATATGTGTTTGACAACCGCTATTATATGTATTTTCCGTAGTAGTGAAACTACAGAAGAATGATGGAGCACCAGAAGTTGATGCATCCAAATACATAAGTCTAATTGAAAGCCTATTATATTTGACAAATACACGACCAGACATAATGTAGGTTACAAGTATTATATCAAGATTCATGCAAAGCCTGAGTCAAATACATTTTAGAACAAGAAGAAGAATTTTAAGGTATCTATAAGGAACAAAATATTTCGGTATATGGTACACTCCCGAAACCAACTCAAGATTACTTGGCTACACCGACCGTGATTGAGCAGATTTGGTAGATGATGAATAACACCTCTAACTATGCTTTCTCACTAGGATCAGGAATTTTCTCTTAGGCATTGAAGAAGTAAGTTACGGATGCAATCCACAACAAAAGTAGAGTACGTGACAGTTGCTGAAGCAACGAGTCAAGTTATATGGCTTCGTAGAATACTTGAAGACACGGGAGAAAAACATGATGGACCTATTAAAATCAACTGAGACAACAAATCAGCAATTGCAATGACGAAAAATCTAATGCATCACAGTAGAAAAAAACACATAAAAATTAAGTATCACTTTGTCAAAGAAGATCAAGCAACTAAAAAGATCAAACTCGACTACTTCAGGACATAAGATCAAATTGTAGACATATTCACGAAGGCGTTGTCAGGACCAAGATTTAAAGAGCTACGAGCTACACTTGAAGTCACTGGAATTTACACCAAGGAGGAGTGTTGAAATTGCGATAAATTTCTAAAATATTCTTAAATATAATATGTATGAAAATGGTATAAGAACCTAAAAATATAATGTGTATGAACATGGTAAAAGAGCCTATAAGTATAAGTATGAAAATGATAGAAGAACCTAAAACTATAAGTGCATGGAAATGATAAAAGAATTTAGAACTATCATGATACTAATCTATCATAAAACATCTAGCAATAACTTAAATTATGTAGAAACATTTACCATCATTGAGAAGTTGGTGACTTGAACCTATAAATACACAATTAATACTCCATCTGTTACATAATAAATGTCTCATTTACACTTTTCCTATGTCTCAAAATAAATATCTCTTTAGAATACTAAGAGCATCCACATTCATCATATCCATTTGAGTTCTTTAAATGAGACCCACATAATTTTTTATATTATTTCACACTTCTCAATTTTTTAAACAACCCATCTACAATTCTCAAATATCCATGTAACTCATTAAAAAATCTAAAATGGGTCCCACATTTAAAACAAATCAACTACATTCTTGCAATTTTATTTATTAATTTATTATCATGACCCACTTAATTGGAGTGTAGAAGCGTGCTTTAGTACGAGGACATGTTTTAGTTCAGGAACGTGAAAACAAGTGAAATATCCATTTATTATTGACACAATTTCTTTAATAAATATGTAAGAACTCTCAAAGAACACCGATAATCATGCTCTAATACAACACTTATTATTTTTTCACTATTATACTTTATTTATCAACTTTCACGTTTTTCAACTACTCTAATAACTATAATAAATAATAGTGTTTTAATAAATAATATTAATTTTTTCATTAAAATCAACACATCTAATATTTTCTTAAAAACCATACGGAACCCAAATAAGACATTTATTATGACAGACTAAACTAATTTATAAATCAATCATCTAAAAAAAATCACTAACATAGCTTTCTTTCCAAAACAATTTTTTATCAACTAATCAACTAAAAACACGTGGCACCAAATTTCTTTAATTAGAAATACCTACTTTACCTTAAGGCGAGGGTCCACGGAAAACGAAGTAAACACTAGTTACAACTCAGCGCACGTTAGAAACTATAAGCTTGAATACACTAACGGAGAAACTAATGAAACTGGCGGAAATTACAAAGAAACACTTCAATTAATTTATCTTCTTTTCCATTCAACCCAATTTCATTCTCCAACTAATCTCTTCTCTTCAACTTCCTCTTCCAATTCCATTGTCTGCAATCCCTCTCGTGTCCTCTCCCATGGATTCCACTGCCGCCATTCGATCCTTCCACTGTATATCTCTCTCTCCATCTCTCTCTATATCTGCATTTCTGTTATGGTTTTTTTTTTTAAGCTGAATTCGATCTGTGTTTTCTATTACTCTTCTTGATTTGTTGCATTTGTGATGCTTAATTTGCTTTACTTTATCTTGTATGCAAGCGAAATATGAAATGATTTGGAGTAGATAAACATTTTTTTCTTGTATTTGAAAAATTGCTGCAAATTAGATGTTGAAATTAGGGTTTAAGAGATGGATTACATAGTGAATAGTTCTACATTATATTATATTATATTATATTATTTGGTCTAAAACTAAATCATTACTGTTGGATTTCAGATCCCATAGGCACTATGTCCCATCTGCGATCTTCAATTGATAGGGCAGCTGTAGTTCCCTGCCATAAAGTCAGATGGAACTCTAGTAAGTGCGTCTACTCTCACACCAGGGGTAAGAAGACACTGGTTTCATGTGCAAAAACAGTTGAAGCTATCAACATAACCAGTTCTGATGGTAGGTTTTATTGATTATAAAAGGAATTATGTACTTTGCTTATTTTTGGTTGCTATTTGAATGAGATAACTCTCATAGACACATTAATCATTTGCGAAAATATTGATAAGTTGCTTTCTATTTTTAAAAGGATTGTTGTTTCTCTTTTATAATCTTTCATGGTATTCTGTTTGGTGTCTGCAAATTAGGAGTTTAGTATTATTAGACCCCTATAACAACAGCAACAATCAAGCCTTATTCCATTAAATGAGATCGGTTACATGGATCAACTTTCGTCTTAGTCTTAATGTTCTATCCAGGATTATGCTTCTATCTAAATCGTTAATCTCCAGATATTTTTTAATAACTTCTCTTATAGTTTTTCTAGGTCTTCCTCTACCTTTAGTTGTTTGACTTGTCTTCATCTGATATACTACTCTTATCACAAAATCTACACGTCTTCTCTATACATACCCAAATCACCTAAGTCTATTTTCCACATCTTTTCTACTATAGATGCTACCCCAACACTCTCTCTAATATTATCATTTCTAATCTTATCCTGTTCTTATCATATATCCAATGCAACATTCTCATCTCTGCTACACTTACTTTATCCTCGTGTTGATTCTTAACCGTGCAACATTCCGTTCCCTACAACATCGCAAGTCTTACTGCAGTCCGATAAAATTTTCTCTTCAGCTTGAGTGGTACCTTTGTGTCACATAAAACCCCTGAAGCTCTCCTCCATTTCATCCATCCGACTTGAATTCTTCCAATATATTTAAACCGTGTGATTTGTGGAATGATATGGTCCCAACTTTCACCTTTAGGTTAGAAGCGCTTCTCTTTTTGTTGAACTTATATTTTATATACTCCGTCTTACATCTACTTGGTCTTGCTTCTGTTTAGAAATATAAAAAAGATATCACCAGACCCCTAATTAGGAAAGTATATTAAAGATGAAATAAGGTTGAGGCAATGTTACAATGGTCAAAGATACTGATATAATAATTAGGAGAAAATAGTTCTGGACAAGAGTTATTAGAAGTAGATGTCATTAAATATAGTAGTTAGGAAATAAGCATTCTATAATAGAATAGTAGGATTATTAGGAATAGGACAGAACAGGAGATTTAGGAAAATATGGTATGTGATATTCCCTAGTTTTTTCAATACTATTCCAAGTTCCTATGACATTCTTATTCCTTGACCTGACGGTTATTTATGATGTTGCAGACAGCACTCTGCAAAGCTCATTAGAGAAAAAGCCATTGCAAACTGCTACTTTTCCTAATGGATTTGAGGTTTATAGCTATGCTTTCCTTTTATTATATGTACAATCATATTCCCTACTGTTGAAAAATGATACTTTGGTGGGAATTAGAAAGTATGCCCATGAATCAAAATACTTTATGTTGGCTATTAGATGAAACAAACACTACTATTTATTTTTTATTTTTGCTAATTGACTGTTGAATTTTTCCCTAGACTTCACAGTTGCATTTATCAAAGGCCACGTTCTATTATGAATCTGATAAACCCCTAATTATGTCTGGTTTGCTTGTGATCAGGCTTTGGTATTAGAGGTATGTGATGAGACTGAAATTGCTGAACTGAAATTAAAGGTGATAATTCTCCTCTCTATAGCATTAGTGCTCTGTAAAATTTGAAGTATAGTAATAATATAATTGTAACAAGGGTGACGCAGTCGGAAGTCCTAGGGAATAGCAAGCGCTAAAGATAACCCTTATGGTCATGCCAAAGGTCTTTAAATACATAAAACAAAACAACCCTAATGGAATAACCCTAATGGGCCTTATGGGCCTTCAATCCAAAACCTAATTAAATAAAACATAATTAAATAAAACAAATAAAATAGAAATTGCTTAAATATTAAAATAATATTGTTTAAATTTTAAAATGCTTTCTGACACGCGATATCTTCTTTGATACGCCAAGGCAGCCCTCCTACATCAAAGGGCGAAAGAAACTTTAGCGTATTCTTTAAAACAAGAGGCTATAGAGATGGTATGGTTTTCTGTTTTCATAATTCAACCATGATACTTAGCTCGACATGTCTATAGCCCTGTGATATGTTGTGTGTTGAAACTTGAGTCAAAGCAGTGACTTTGATTTACTCAAGATACACTATATGCCATGGTTTACAGAAAATGAGGTAAGGGTTCTTTTGTTAAAATTGTAGCACATTGCATTATAAGCTAGAGGTTGTGTTACTTTTGTACCTAACATCCTAACTGAGTATATAACTTTATCTTGTAATTAAAATTTAATTGCAAACAATTGTGTCAGTTTAGTTTTTCATGCTAAACTGTACCTTGTAACGTTATCTAACGGCAAATCTGTAATTTCTTTTGGTTCATCGAAAGAAGAACGCTTTAGATGAATGACACCGTATATGGCCTTATTTAATTTATATTTTGACAGGTCGGTGAGTTTGAGATGCATCTTAAGCGAAACATTGGAGCAACAAAAGCTCCATTGTCTAACATTTCACCAACTATACCACCACCTATTCCAAGTGAACCTATGGACGAAACAGCACGAGCTACTCCACAGCCATTGCCACCAAAATCATCTCCAGAAAAAACCAATCCATTTGCAAATGTTACACCACAAAAGTCATCGAAGTTGACAGCATTGGAGGCGTCTGGTACCAATACATACGTGTTAATATCATCTCCTACGGTATGGCATCTATTTATGTATCTAAAAATCTCTGATTTCATTAATTATCTCTGACTTGAATTATGTACAGTTTGCAATCACTTATCTCTCTCCCTCTCTTCAGGTTGGTTTATTCCGAAGAGGTAGAACGATTAAAGGGAAGAAGCTTCCTCCTATCTGTGAAGAGGTAACTTGATGTGCTAGTCACTGCCTAACATCGGGTGTTTTTAAGTCATCTGCTTGTTATGATATACTAGATCACATGATTCAGTGGATGCCCCCCTCCACCTGGCTTCTCATCGTTGAACTCCACCATTGGATTTAAGTGCATACTCTCTCCGTAACGATTTATAAACAAATTTGACTTTTTTGGTACATTTGATAATTAATATATCTAGTCTATATATGGATTAGATGCATTAATTGTCAAATGTACCAAAAAAGTCAAATTTGCTTATAAAAAGTTACGGAGGGAGTATGTTCTTGTTGCTCACTAAAATTCTCCAGGTCACAGTAAATGTTTGCTGTTTAGGGTTCAACCAGTAGCATTCGAGTTGTGTCATGTCATACTGCAAACACGGCAACCTATGTGCCGGCATGCTTGCTTGTCTGCCCAGTCTCCTAAAAGGACCTTGCTAACACGCACATGTTAACTTTTATAATATATTGAACTAATCAACTGAATAATGGTATGGAATAAGCAAAAAGTGACAATAACTAAAAAAAGAAAGTCCGAACTTAAACCATATAAATAAATCATTTTAATTACTATATTACTTGTCAATATTTTTCATTTAAAAATTTGGATTACAGTTTGATATAAACAAAGCAATATTCCCATTATTATTTTTAAAAGATGTGAATAAGTATACGTTATGGTCACAAGAAGGATAGCCAAACTTTTTCTTTAGTTGAACTTTAAAATATATATTTTCAGTTTTGTGCCGTATTCCATATAATCAAGCTATCACTATTCACTACAGTCTAACAAATAGAAACATATGTAGATGCCAATTATATATTCTTTGGCAGTATAATGTAGATTGGTCGATATTTCTGTCTGACCCGGGCTAATTATTGACATATTTTCTATCACAGATTTTGCACCAAACTGTTTGAAAACCTCACTTTCTCTGAACTGATTACAATTATTGACATCTTCATTCTTAATCTAATTCTAGCCTAATTGCATACACTCAATTGTCTGTTTTCAATTTCAACATAGGGTGATCTAATCAAAGAAGGGCAAGTCATAGGGTATGTGGATCAGTTTTCTACTTCACTTCCCGTTAAGGTGATTTGGCCTCTATTTATTTAAAAGTGTCTCCTACAGAAATATCTACTTCTCCTGATTGGTTTTATTTTGAAATTTTGCAGGCAGATGTAGCTGGAGAAGTGTTAAAGATACTTGTTGAGGAAGGAGGTATGATGTTTGTGACCTATTGCTAAAATATGTATGAGTTTCTTTTATATGTGATTCAAGTAATGCGGGGGGGCTTTTGGGAACAAATAAGGGTATAAGTACTGTTCATTAAAATTTGAAATAGTGAAAGTAATTGTGTGCCTCCAGTATTAAAGTATGGCAAAAGTGACATAGAAGTTCCTCAAGTAATCTCTATTTTAATGATTGCAAAACCTAATTACATGGAAGAAGCAAAGTAGAGAACTTAAACAAGCATTAAAATTAAGAAAATTTTGCGGCAGTAGCAAGTCCAGTACACATTCGTGACCTTCTTTAAGTACGAATTTTACCATGTTAGAGGGCATTTATCCTCCAGCATTTACCCTGCTGCATGTATGATATTCTGGTATCTTGGCTGCCTAATTGTTCATGTTTAGCATACTGTTATCATATTAAAGCATTGGCATATAGGTTCCATGCTCTCACAATTCCATGCACCATAATAAACAATGTTATGTGTCATGCCAAACAAAGGGGGTCTCACATCTCCTCACATAAAAGATACTGTCTTCCATTCCATTTCCATACCAGTGTTGTATACTTTTTTATGTGCATTTTCGGAATGATATAAAACCACGGATATTCATGATAAATTGATTTAGTTCATCTTATTTAACAATATATGGCAAGTGGAAAAACTAAACATATATTTAGTTCGCATGTGTTTTCTAACTATTGTTGACTATTGATTTGAGCGGGCAATCGGAAAAAACTTATTCGAGTTTAACTTATGACACTAGCTTAGAATATGGTCTTAAGTTGTCTTTAACTTATTTTCATAAGCTTACTATTTTGTGCTCTATGGTTTTCAGATTCCGTTGGTTATGGAGATCACATTCTTGCCGTCTTGCCATCGTTTCATGACATAAAGGATCCAGCATTTTCCAGCTATTGAAGATTTAATTATGCGGCATTTATATTGGCATATTGGTAAACGTTTTGAATAGATTGAGAAATAAGTGTTTGTGCTTACATATTAGGGGAAGGGGTTCCTTTATTGAAGATCATACACTGTATACCAATTTCTCAAAATTGTATTTTTATTAGCTAATTCCTAGATCACCTTACTATGTGTCTTAGTGATGTACACAAACTTGAGACTTTGCACACTATGAACCGATCCTAGTGCCTGGAGTTTGATTGCTTGGTTGATTTATTTATTTTTCTCTAAAAGAAGTTGTAGAACTTGTTTTGAGATATAATACTCGGAACATAATGGATAAATTATGCATTGCTAGAATGTATAGAAATGTTGTCTTTTTAGTAGTCTCTGATAACTTCATGACCAGAATAGTAACACATTCTGTCAGTCGTGTTCAAAAGTGCAGGGGGAAGACTTTGAGATTTGGATCCAGCTTCAGTAACTTTGAGATCCGGCTTCAGTAACTTTGAGGCGGGAAAGTCACATGACTTTAAGCCAATCATGTCCATTAGATATCAATCAAGTGGACTAAATCATGCCATGTGGATATGGATTTTTGATTATATTAAAATTTTCTTATTAAAGTTTAGACATGTGACATGATTTAGTCCACTTGATTGATATCCAATAGACATGATTGACTCGGTCATATGACTTTCTTGCCTCAAAGTTACGGATCCAACTTCAATAACCTTAGGTGGAAAAGTCAAATGACTGAGTCAATCATATCTATTGGATATAAATCAAGTGGGTTAAATCATGCCACATGTCTAAACTTTAAAAGAAAAATTTAATATAATCAAAAATCCACTTCATATGATTTAGTCCACTTGGATCCTTGAGATTTTGTGTTTTAAAGGCTGAACCAGGAGGAAGTGAAAATCTGTAATCGTATCTAATGGAAGAGATTGTGGAATCCGTCTTGGTACAGTTCCTAATGTTACCCTCTTATAAACTAACACGTTGAATACTTATCCATCTCTGATCTAACAATTAATATCCTGATATTCACCCACTAACCTCTATTAACCAACTTATCCATAACCATCAACTTATTTTCTTTCTAACCACAGGGTTCCAGGAAGAAGGGAAGGAGAGCAAGGGGAGATTATAATGTATGTTGAAAAAGAGAATTTATTGAGTGAAGTTGTGGTGTTTATTTACAACATAACATGTCTATTTATAGAAAACTAAAACTAAAAATAACATACAAATTACACTTCGACATAACAATTATATGTTGTATTTGACAATGTCGAATACAACTAATTCTATTCAGCTCAGTTCGATTAGGTTGAATACATTATAGTTGAACATAGACTTGAAACAATGAATTATTAGATTCTAACATTCTAATGTTTCTCTTCAACTTTTCAAATTTGATTTTCTTGAGAGGCTTGGTGAGTATATCAGTTAGTTGGTATTCTGTCTTGCAATGCTCAAGTTCTAGCTTTCCTTTATTTACTTGATCTCTGAGAATATGATACCTCCTTCCTATGTGTTTACTTCGACCATGACACACATGACGATTGACTAGGTTGATAGTAGACTTGTTATCTACAAACAACTTTATTTTCTTAGGTTGCATGATCTTGAGTTCTTCTAAACCATCTCTATCCATACTGCTTGACATGTTGCATACGATGCAGCTACACACTCAACTTCACACAAAGACAATCACAATGCTTAGCTTTCTTGAGCTTTAAGAGATTGGAGCACCTCCAATCATGAATATGTACCATGCAATACTCTTTTTCTCGTCTTGATCTCCACTGAAATCTGAATCAATGTAACTTTATCCTTCTGCATCTGTGTTGGTATTTTTTTGCCTCGGCATCAGCACACCATGACCGATAGTATCTTTTATGTATATTAGCACCCTTTTGACTACAATGAGATGTCATTCTTGTAGCTTATCCATAAGTTTGCTTAATAACCTGATACTTTGACAAATATTTGGCCTTGTGTTGCAAAGATGCCATAAGGATCCAATGATTTGTTTGTACAGTGTTGCACTTACAATCTTGTAACGCCTCATACTGCTTTCAAGATTATCGATTGACCCCACAAACCAGCGCAATTATTTTCAACATACTTTATCCTCACTCACACGCTTTCTGGGAACTTTCCCAGAAGGTCACCCTGTCGCTCTCGGGATTTTCGATCCAAGTACAAACGTGAAAGTGGCGCGGAACAGAGTCGCCAGCAATGCGTATTTATCCCACAAGAGGGAAAGGAAACACTGCATAAACATGAGAGAAGGAAAGTCATGGTCATCACGACCAAGAGAAACGGGTAAGGGAGTCAGTTACGTGAGGGTAAGGTGTTAGCACCCCACACGTCCATCGTACTCGATGGGATCCACGCTTGCTATTTAATCTATTGGTGTAAAAGTCTAAATCTAAAGCTAAATGCATGCAAAGGAAAAAGAAAAGTGTGATCGGTGGATCTGGAACTGACTGTTTAACGCTGGTTCGCGAAATGTCGCGGAAGCAAGAGTCGCCACCGTCTTTTATTTTCTCCAAATGGAAAGGACAAAAGCACAGAAAAATTCCTTAAAGAGATTGCTCTCGGTTCGGGAGGTAGGTTATAGAAAGGGAAGGTGTTAGCACCCTTTCTATCCATGGTTATCCATGGGCTCTTAGATACTTGCTCATTGTGTTTTCAAAATTGTTTGTTTGCTTTTCAATGTGGGTTTAAAAGTTTCTTTGAAAAAATTTCAGATCGACTCGTATGTCAGAGTGTTTGAAAAGTTTGCTTTGAAAGCTTTTGAAAATGTGTTGGTGAAAAGTCTTTTGAGTTTGTTTTGAGATTAGAGCAAGTATCCTTGAGAACCTACCTACCCTAAGGAATTCGTCTGTGTAAATGTCCTTTAAAGTAGTGCCATCCCACCATTGAGAGGTAGGTAGCACCACCGTTGGAGGTGTTCGGGTCAATTCGAGTTTTAGGGACTTGGTGATCACCAGAGCAATGGGAAGACACCTTAGAAGCTACCCTCATGCCAGGTTCCCGGATCATGAGGACTTACTAAGACGTTTTCTACTCGACGACCACCTTTCGAAAGGCAACAGTGAGGCGTACCCTAGGGGTGGTGTGTGCGAATCGTGTGTCATGTTTCAGTTATTTGTCTTGTCATGTTTGTTGTGATCTACGCTTGATTTTATTAAGACATTCATTCTTTCATGCTTGGTTAACAGTTAAATATTTTGCGAGGACATAAATCTAAATTATTACAAATGGCGCGGGTCCACATCGCCAAAATTAAACCGGACCCGATTTAGCGGAAAAATAGATAATGCGAAGAAATAAAGTGCGAGAAGTAAAATTACATGGCTTAGGGACAATTACATAATTATATAAACGATAAAAAGTAAATGCACGAAATAAAGGAATTAAACAAAACTAGGGCGTTGGACCCTTTTGCAAACAATTAAAATTAATGAGAATTAAAGATTAAATGATTAAATGGTATTTTTGTGTTTTTTAGATTTAATGAGAAAAAGGAATTAATTGAAATTAAATTAAAAGGCAAACCCTAATTCTAATATTTTTTTAATTATTAAGAAAGAATTAAATTAAGATCTAAATTAAACCCTAATTTATTTATGTGCAATTTTTAATTTATGAAAATAAATAAACAATATTATTATTCTAAAAAAGGGAAAATATTAAAAGGAATAAAAAAAAAATATCAATTAACCTAATTCTATTTTGTTGGATTTTTTTGTTAAGGAAAAAATATAAATTAAACCTAATTTGAAACTAGTTTATTTACATGCTAAAAATAATTATAATAAAATAAATATTATTTTTTGGTCTTTTTCTGATTTTTATATTTTTATAAAAAAATATTACTGAATTAAAACAATAAATAAATAAAATAAGAATTAAAAAGATATAAGGGAAATAAATGAAATTTCAAACCAGGGTGGGGTGTTGTCCCAAAATCAGGAGGTATAGGCCTGGTAATTCTGGCCCAACAAGATTTGAAATTTGCTGACTTTTTGGATTGTGTGTGATGCTTTGACTCATGCCTAGGGTGTACCCCAATCTTCTGCCTTGAGTGAGAGATCCTGGACACGTGGGCTGCCTGATGGTGAGGAAATATGGTGCACCTGGACATTAGCAAAGTATAGGATCTCATATTGAAAAATAGCATGGAATTTTTGCCAGACCTGGGACTTGAACCCAGGTCTTGAAGGTTACAAGCGTAGCGTGTTGCCACTGAGCCAAGCGCGTTTCAATTAACAAATAATAAGCAATAAATAATATAAAAAGAAAACGCCAATGCTTTTGGAAATTCGCGCGAAATTCAAATGGATCAATCACGTTCTGACACGACTCCTTCTTCTTCGTTTTCCTGAAACATGAAACATATTGGCAACGGTTTTAGAAACGTTGCATTAGGGGGGATTCAAGAAAATAGCGAATAGCCCTCTTTGATACATAAATCCATCGCGAGGTATGTTTCTTGTTCATGGGAACACGCTGAGTTCAACCATGGTGGTTTCAAAGGCCAATTTTACTGTATTGACAAAGCCCCAATTTTTTCTTCTGAAAACCCTAAAGAACAAACATGGTAACTTGGCCAAAAACGCACGAAACTTCAATCAAAAGTTATGGTTAGCTTGCAAATTACACATTGAACAAGAATTCATGAATAAAAATATACAATGATGCGTAAATTATGATATGCGATTTGGAAATTTTTGCTTCACAGTTTGAGGTCGTGATACCGTTTCAGGGCGTTTCAATGGATGTTCTTGGTTGGAATTTGATCAAGAGTGCCTGAGGATGCTAATGGAACAAAAATTAAAGCTTGAATCGACCTAAAAGCTAGTTTTCAGTCTTGAGTTTTTTGTGAAAAATTTCAATATGGCAAATGTTCTTGGGGCGCAGCTTGCAGTCTAAGATAATTAGGGTTATGATCCTGAGTATGTATAGAGGCTATTAGGTTAAAAAACATTGCACAA